AATCTCTATCTTTATCATCTCATACATCATCAGCATCTATTTCACCAGCATTATCTTTTGATACGTTTACAACACAATCACTAACAACAACAACAACATCATCATCATCACCATTGTCATCATCATCATTGTTATTCGATGAACAATCTTCTACTTTAATGTTAATGAACTCTTTTAATAATTTAAATTTAACTAATAACTCATCACATTCATTTATATCAAAAGAGATTTGTTGTAGTAATTTCACAATAACAAATTCTAGTTAAATAGTATTAAGATTTTAAAAAAAAAAAATGTTGGTTTTTTTAAATGTTAATTTCATTACTACTATTTAAGTTAAAAGTAGTTTGCTTATTTATTGATTATGTAATTTTCATTCGAAACGATTAAATGGCCTCTGTTATACCATGACAATAATGTATGTATTGTAACATTGTTCAATGTTTTAAATTGGTTCATTGGAGTAGTGAATGTATATTACTGTAAAGAATTCAATAAAGAACTATGGAATTACTGCTGATTCAAAGTTCTAATATAGGAGTATATTATATATATTTTTAGTTTTGTTTACAAAAAGAAACATTAGTTTCTTTTATTAATTGAATATTCCCATCATTTGCTTTCTTTTCTTTTCTTTTTCTGGTATATTCTATTGTTCATCATTACTTTATATACATATATAAACCTTAAATGGTTAGTAATGGGATAAATGCATTGTAAAGTCAATATATTACTTATGATAATACTAACATGGGAATATTGTCTAATTTATTGTTATTATTATTATTTTTACTGGCTATTATCTAGTCATAATTGAATGCGTTTTACAATCAACTTTATACAGATATCTATTATTTAATTCATTCAAAAAATGCATTTTAACTAGCTTATTGTGTTTTATTGATTTAACTACTAACTAGATAATAAGTAGTATGGTTTGTAATGCTAAAATATTATTTGTTGAATTTCAACGCTATACAATTCATAATATAAGAGATCTTTCTCAGTTAAAAATAGCTCAGTAACATAACATGACTTACTATGAAATTGAGTGACATGGATATGAATCAAACGATTTGTACGAATTCCCCTTAAGATTACATGGAATATAAGAGGCAGTGAAGAGGAAATGTAGATCAAGTAAAACCTCCTAACGATAACCTCTAATTACCTCCTATTGATCATAGTATATGGGTACTGAGTTAGTTTACTGTTCATTAGATTATTTATCATTTGGCCAACAGTCTATAAATGTTAACTTGTGGTATAATTGAGCTTGTGAAATGATGGAGAATCTTTTGACTTATGTAATGAACAAAAGATCTGTCTTGAGTGATTAGGATTCAGTAAGGGCTTTTAACCGTCTATATACATAATTGACAAGTGGATAGTTTTAAAATTTTTGTTTAATAGTCGAATTTGGTAATTATGCCCAGTAATTATGGTAATTGGCTTAACTTGCAACTTGAACGATATGATACCCTAAGGAAAACTAGTTTTCGTTGATTCTTGGACGGCTTACCCAGTCAACACGTAGGTTTAGTTCCGGATTTATATTAGTTGTCAGTCTGCTACAATGTGGGATTAGGCAAATTCATGCATCAGTCCAAGTCGCCACACCTCATTAGCATAACAAGATGAACACCATATTCAGAGAATTAGTTACTCCGATGATAGTAATATATAAAAGAAATACTATGTATAATAATATAATACAGGAAGCAAGAATTAGATCGTAGTGTTAAGTTCGCTACTTGATTAACGCAGAGTTCGGTATGCAACTACGGCACTCGAACGTATAGAACCCCACAGTCCACCTAGGGGAGTTGGAAAAACATAATTTCAAATCAGTGATGGGTTCCAGGATCCTGAGAGAACAGATGACATATAGACCTATTGTTGGTCACCGGCTACAGTGGGACTACATCTCCTAACATTGGTCTATCGCCTTATGGATTAAACCTTCGGGGGAAAGGCTCAGGTTGGAGCAGCCTAAGAGAACCACAAGCTTCGGTTTGGGCACACGGACTGTATACCATCCCTCATGCAAATCGAATATTGAAGTGTGTTGCATAAATATTTGGTGCCCTCTTAAAAAAACATTCACGTGCTTAAATACAGAAATTCTTGATGATACTAGTGATTCATAGCTCTTCAAAGATTGACAAATGAGTCAGATCTATGTACCTGTATTGAGACATTGAATTATAAGAGTAAATGTCTAAATCTTATTGACTTCTCTAAAGTTAAATAATCAGTCAATTGTATCTGTAAGACATTGATCAAACTAAGATCTGTAGTTAGAAACTTGTAACAAAATAGCGATATTGAATTTTACATTCCAAATACTTAAAGATCTATACAATGTTTGAATAATATTCAATCTTTCTTATAATTGACAATACAAAACTCACTGAATAAGTTATCAACATTTCAACCCAGATAGATCTAACTGGTAATTTCATAATGAAAAAAAATGAGCGTTGTGAATTACAGTACTACGCACAATGTAGAATATATACACGAAACATGTAGTAAAATTCCACTATCGATGAGATTCTCTTGAAAATGCACATCAATCAACAAAAAGATACTAGCAGAATGGAGATTGTAATAGTTTTATTAGTTCAATGCATTATTCGATCTAAGTTAGACCACCATTGAAAAGGTGAACGTATTGGATGACCGTCTCGTTTTAACGTGGAACTTCTCATCAGCGCGCATCTACGATCCTACATACGGGATTCGATCACGTGACTTTCGGTCTCGGACGCGAACGCCTAACCTCTAAACCATTGAGCCAGTATCCAATGGTGTTAATGTTTAACTTTGATCGACCCATGATCTTACGCAACTATTCATACTTTTTAAAAATTACTACAGTCTCCACAAAGCTTCATCCTAAAAAGTTTTTTGTTTACATGTATATTTATGATATTTGAATTTACTGAGTCTGGTTGATACTGTTGATGAAAGTAAATAATGGTAATTTTTACCTTTAATATCAAGTTACATTAGGAGATATAATGCCAAGTTGTATGGTTCATTTGTCAGTAGGTTGTCGTTCTTTCTTTTTTTTCTATATTAAATTACGATAAGATGGTGGTTGGAGATAGTGAACAGGAAACCCTGTACCTTGGCACTCGTCAGCAAGGTGTACATGTAATCTTGAGGGAACTGATACTCTCTGACGGATTTGATCCGGTGTCAGCCAGGTTCACAATCAGAGACGTTGCCATTGAGCTATCCGGGTCTCGACTGACCTCTTGTAGGCCTGAGATGTATTTACAATTGATTGATAACTGGGTGGTGAGTAAGCAACTATCTTAAATTAGTAGTTTAATTCATAATACTTTAAGAGTTTGAAGCGTGAAATACTGGGTTCTAGATGCAATATAAACATTTAAACTAGGTTTTAGTCACATACAGCTGACGAAACTTAAATAAGACGTAACATGTATCCTAGGTTCAGCTATCAGTTATAATCTACTTATTCCAAATCAAATTACAAGATAAAATGCGACAACCTTTTGTAATAATATATCATTCTGGAAATATTCTTCATCAATTGAAGATGATATTGTGGTGTCTGCTACTAATGTTGTCAGATATAAGTAATATTTATCATCAACCGAAAGTGGAATGCTTGTAGGCAAAATGTTAAGAAGATTAAAGAAAAGAGAACGAGAACAAAGTATGGTTGGTGTGGAAACGAAGGAACAATTTACATTCTGCAAATGAAGTGTTCTTCTTACTGTATAGTTCCCAGATTTTACTAAGATATCCTGTAATTTTTTGTTCAAATTCATCGATTGTCCTCCATCTGTGTTCTTGTTCACTACAATACCATCTGGTTTTATGTTAAAGTGATCTATGGGAAATTACTTTAATCTTGGAATAGTTTTCGGTGTATACAAATAGGAGCTAGTGAATTACTAAGACAAAGAAGCATTAAACAACCGTTTTGTCTTAACTAAGGGCCCATCATCTACCTGTCCACATGTAGTCCCACAGAGGATTAAAGCGCGAACATAAAAAGATTTATAATGATTATACTTAGTAGAAATCTACAATTCTTGACTTCCGTCAGTATTTTTGACTGTTGTCTTATGTATGTTCAACCTAGTTTACGACCAAATCATTCAGTTAATAGTGCAAATCCGCATACAATTAATAATATCATATTGTTTTTTAGTTCAGTTCAAACTGAACTCCATGTTTTTGAAATAAGTTTTCAATAATACTGTGGTGTATGCTACTTATGTTGACAGATATAAGTAGTATGTAACACTAATCAGAAGTAAAATACTTAGCAGTACAGGACTAAATTAAGAACAACAGCAATGAAAACAGATGAACCATGTATAAATGTTGTACTTAATGTATGCTTTTCGCACTATATTAAACCACTGTGTGATTTTGTATTCAATAGTAAATTGATTACTGTCTGAGGATAATGGTGGACGTGTGTCTCAATTTCGTGGATTGGTTATAGTTGGACATTAACACCGTTGTATACCGGATCAGTGGTCTAAGGCTTACGCATTCGTGCGTGAGACCAATAGATTCTGGGTTCGAAAGTCGCGGAACTTGGATCATGGATGTGAACTGCTGAGGAGTCCCACAATCGGACTTCCAGGTGTTCCATGGTGGTCTAGCTTCAATTGACTCATAATCTCAACTATCAAATTATTAAATTGGTTATCCTCAACAAATGCTTCATGTATTACATCATTACAACTGTTAATAGGCCGACATTATCAATCAATAGTACTTCATTGTTTATTATATATACTTCATGAAATCATATGAATAATAAACTTTTTCTATTTACTAAGTAATATAACACACATTTACTTAAAGATAAACAAACAAAACAAAGCAAACAAACAACCCTATGTAAATAACTAGTTGTTTACTAAAGTTGAAATACTATAAATATAAGTAGTATCGTTAGTTGTTATTCAATATCATTATCATTTCTATTGTATAATCTAATGATGAGTTCATTTAATCTGGCAATTCTATTCATTGTAACTATTACATTACAATCGTGTTTCAATTTTGGTGGGATTGATCATATCGACAAAGATAGGCATCCTATTTTAAATGAAACTCTAATTAACAAGTCGGTTATTCTTGTGAATAAAATAATAAATTCAAATTTTTGGTATGCACAAACCAATATTACTAATATAACAATACAAGTAGTATATTATTATATTGATAAATGTTCTTCCAATTAGATTGTAAATGGTTTATTATTACAATATAATTTACATCTTACACGTACTAATTGTACAAAACATAATAGGATGATGCAAAAGATTAAAAATAATCAAACGATTCGATGTCAATTCAATCATAATACTGTAAGTTTTGTATAGAAATTAATGATTGATGAATTGTTTTTACAAAAAAAGAACTTCGAATTTCAAATTATTCATTGTTAGATTGAGATCTTATGCTCTGGTACGGTCAGAGATATGGGGGAGTCCGCTCTCCTTTTTGAAATGCTCTCACATTTCCATGCGTATACAGCCAATGACAGGGATATCCTACTCATGACGTGAGTGTTGTTTACGAAGTCCAGTGCTTCAACCGTGTTGGTTGTAGAGAAGGGTCTACCAAGGAGAGTCGGAAAATCTTGACTCCAAACTAATGGTGCATATGGTCTCCAGTATCCTGATAAGACGAATGATGTATAAACCAATTGTTAGTCACCGACTACCATGGATCTGCATATCGTAAAGTTACTGTACTGTGTTGTAGATCAGACCTTTAGTTCAAAGGCTCCAGGTGTGGTTCTTTAAGAAAACCACCTGCTTCGTTCTGAGTACCCGGACAGTATCACAGTTCACACACAAATCAAGTGACTTGTGTGGTGCATATTTATTTTGTATTCCACTGTACTAATATTTGTGTGTTCAGATAAATAAATAAATAATATAAGAGGGTCATCCTCTAGAAACTATGGTAGATGAATTAAATAGATTACAATAATGCTGTTGGGTTTCGGCCCAATGTTCTAGAGGTTAAGTGTGCGAGACCGAACGTACTGGATTCGAGTCTGTGATGTGGGATTGTGGATGTGCATTGCTGAGTAATTCCATGTTAGGACTAAACAGCTGTCTAGTGTTTCCAAGTTTTCAATGATGGTTTAACTTATATTAACTCGTGAAATCAACTATGACAACAGATAAATATTAATGGAAATGGAATTAAAAAGTGAACTTTTCCTTAAAATTAGTATGTTTCTTAGATTGTTCGCTTTGTAGAAAGTTTACATCCCGAGATGATTTAAGCTACGCAATTATTGATATCCTCAGGAAAACGAAAAGTAGTTTCATTCTAGTATAAGACGCCTTAGTGATTCACATACAAAGTATCTCTGTACATAATGGCCTTCAATGGTTGTCTGGTCTGTGTTTATTTATAGTCTAAACTGGTCTATGTGATTGTTATCATAAAAGGTTTGAGAGTATTTTAATAGTTGAATTCATGAGTCAATTAATGCCAGAACACTGGGGAAAACATGGAAGCAGTGGACGGCCGTTTTGTCCTAGTATGGGACTATTCAGCAGTGCTCATCCATGATCTTACTAGCGGGATTCGAACCCAAGATTTATCGGTTTCGAGCGCGAAACCTTAAAGTTTGAACGACTAAGCCGCCCGGCATCCAATAATGTTAATGTCTAACTTTATTTTATTATCGTAAAGTTATCAAAATCTGATTTAAGTCTGTTTGTGTCCTGAAAGGTATTCATTGTAATTCAGAAAATAAGATGACTTGGAAGTAAACAGTAAAAATCCAGAATAGAGGAATTTGGAAGATTTCTATTAATTATACATCAGTTAATTCGAGTTCTTCCGTCGATATTAATCAAATGACTGTAAGAAATAAACCATGTTTGCTTATGTTGAAAAAGTTGATTCACGTAATAGATTTACACACATACACACATGCATTTTTGAAGTATTTGGAGACATACTGTATAAATATTTACAATTAAGCGCTAATTAAGACCAAGGATAAACTTCATTCCTGTACACAATTTAGACATTACACCTGGCAACCAACTAAAATGAAACGGTTATTATTATTCGCACTATCATAGTCCATGACAGAGGGTGGGGGTGTTTTATTCTGGGTTACATAAAAATATGTAAAGTTTTCTATGATGAAAATACCATTTTATCATACTGCTTTTGTGGTAATGGTAACATAATCAGTTATGATGAAAGAAAAATTACAGCATACTAAAAGACATACTTACTTACTTACTTACGCCTGTTAGTCCTCGTGAAGGACCATAGGCCGCTCACCAGCATTCTCCCTCCAACCCTGTCCTGAGCAATCCTTTCTAGCTCCGTCCAGTTGTAATTCATCGTTTTCATATCTGCTTCTATTATCCGACGCAATGTATTCTTTGGCCTTCCGCTTTTCCGTTTCCCTTCAGGGTTCCAAGTTAGGTCTTGCCTCGTGATGCAGTTTGATGATTTGCTTAATGTATGTCCTATCCATTTCCATCGTCTTTTCCTAATTTCTTCTTCAACTGGAAGTTGGTTTGTTCTCTCCCAGAGAAGGCTATTGCTGATGGTATCCGACCAATTGATGTTGAGTATCTTGCATAGACAGCTATTTATAAATACTTGTACTTTCTTGATTGTGGTTGTTGTAGTTCTCCAAGTTTCAGCTCCATACAGTAGAACTGCCTTGACGTTAGTATTGAAGATTCTCACTTTGATATTGGTCGAAAGTTGTTTTGAGTCCCATATGTTCTTCAACTGTAGGAATGCTGTCCTTGCTTTGCCGATCCTCGCCTTTACGTCTGCATCTGAACCTCCTTGTTCATAGATGATGCTTCCTAGGTATGTGAAGGACTCTAACTAAAAGACATACCTACAATTAATTATATGATAGAAATTATTCACAAAAAAAATCTACCATTGAGTGATCAAATTTGGGTTGTTCTTTTCACTGTTTAATATCAGAAGAACCGTATCACCATAGGAGTTTGTATATACCATAGGGTAACAAAGGGTTTCAGAGGAATAGTCTTTAGAGGAATATCTTTTACAATTTATTATATAATCTAATCTAAGTAATATTTATTGTAATGATGAATATGGCAATCAATAATATTGATTAACATCATTACTGTTTTGATTGAGATCATGAACCGATTAGTGTTAAGGTCTCAATTAAAAACTTAATAATCTCCACAATTCTATATTGATAATAACCATGTGCTCACTAGTGACTAGCTTCGTAAGTATATTCTCGGAGTTCTAATGCGAAGCCGTGACCAGTGGATCTAATCCTTGTCGGGTAGAGACAGGTATCTATCCAAGTACAATGGGAGATAGTCACGCAATTTTCTGGATTGGTTGAGGTTAGACATTAACACCATTGAATACCGGACGTCCCAATGGTTAGAGGTTAAGCATTCGTGCGAGCAACGGGAGGCCTTGGGTTCCAATCCCGCGAGCGGAATCGTGGATGCGCACTACTGAAGAGTTCCACAATGGGAAAAAATGGCCGTCTGATGCTTACAGGTGTTTCAGTTGTGGTCTAACATCATTCGATTCATGATCTCAATCAAAAACGAAATAATCTTCACAACCCTATACTGATAATAATAATTATTATTATTAATGTTATTATCTTTCATGTAATTTTAGACTGGTCGGGTGTGTCAAATTCAAATTTTACTTCAACCATGGATGAAGCAACATTATCGAATGACGATTAAGAGCTGTAAACCAGAGATGAAATCAATGAATAACAAGAAATATCCTCCGAAACATCATCAACCAATGATTCCTTACAATCAACCATTATCAATAATAAGCAACCGAGTATTATTTTAAAGTGTTTAATTCTACTAAGAATTATTATTAAGAAAATAATTTGTAACTTACCACGTTTTTTTTTAAAAAAAATTAAGACGTACCAAACAAATTATTGAAAATTTTAGTGTTATGGTGTGTGCTACTGATATTGACAGATATAAGTAGTATGTACCATCAATCGAAAGTGAAATACTTAGTGACAGAAAGTTAAGAAGTTTGAAGAAAGGTGAATGTGAACAGTGGATAGTCGATGTAGAAATAAAGGAACAGTCAATTCTAAGACAATTGATTAACATTTTGTAAATGAGGAATTTACTGAATGCTTCTTAGATTTTATTAAGAGATTCCGTAATATTGTATTCAAATAAATTCCATTATCTTCCAATTGTGTCATACTTATGATATAGAAAAATGTCTGGAATTAAACATGAAAGACTTTGGATACTAACTTAGTTGTCTGTTAGTTAGTTTATCGTTCATCGACTCGGTTATTCCTGTAGTGAACGAGAATATAAGTGGGGACATCCAAATGCGTTTGGATAAGGAATTACAGAATCTCTTCGTAAAATCTAAGACCTATACAGTAAATACTTCATCTGCACAATGTCAATCAGTTGTCTCAGATTTTATCATTCCTTTGTCTCCATATCAATCACTCTCTATATTCGATTTCTTTTCTTAGATTTTCTTAGCCTGCATCTACCAGGCATTTCATTTTTGATTAGATGATACATACTACTCATATCTATCGACATCGGTAGAATATATTGCAATACTATTAACTTTTTACAAAATCATCCAAACACTTTTGATTATTATTAGAGTAGTAAAAATAATATTAATTGATCATGTTAATATGTTTTTACATTGATTGCAGTTAACTGAGGGTACCTATGGTAAATCTTTAATTGATTATTAGTAGATACTTGTCAACACATTATTAGTATTAGATTACTATTTTATACAATACTGATGAATTATTAGTAGCCACAAAGAGACGATTTTGCGTATATTTAGGCAAAAAATAGACAATTCAATGACATTTGGAACACAGAGCGACGAAAAGAGGAGAATCGGCATTATTTCCCCCGGACAGGCGAAAAAGCAGACATTTCCTCATTATTTCCCTTTTACTTTCCAACTCATTTCCTCCTTTGTTGGTTGATTGGATTGCACAAACGGTATTTCAACAATCACATTTCTAAATAAGAAACAATGGATCATAACTTAATGTTTTAACGTTCACTTGTAATGTTCGCTAAAATCACTCATGATATGACAGAGTAGATATGTATAAATATCTGGGCTGTATGTTCCTGCCATCTAGATATCTGAACAAGCCATCTGTTATTGTTTGTTTTAATTACCTAACATATACCGGCGTGTTTATGAAAAGTACAATCAGAGACATCATGGTTGTCGGCAATGTGCATTGAGAAGAGTGAACATTTTCTCATATATTGATTCCTGATATTGCTTGCATCAAACTGTCAATCACCTAATATTCATCGTTGGTTTTAATCATGAAATAAGAAACAGAAAAGGCGAGACTATAATTTATGAATGAACCAATGAGGTATAAGATAACAGGTCTCAGATTTTCGACCAAAACTAACTCATCCATTCAGGTAAATAGAGTTTTGACATTATAGCTGATGTCACTTCGTGATGAAAACCCGAAATTTAATTCCTAAGCTTAATCATCAACTGTAAATCATAATTCTGATTTTTCACACTGGTTTATAACCCTCATTTGGTCCTAGTTATTAAGTGGAATCTCTCAAGGTCACTTTAGCATCGATCAAAGGTCGTCCCACCACAGAAATTTGTTGAAATATTTTGTGCTTTAAGTTGAGAATTCTATATTGTACCAAAAATATATTATATTGAATAGAGACATTAATAGTAATGATATTTAATAAGAGCGCATAAACTTGCTGAGACTATAATTTATGGACGCCCTTTGAGCGGTGCCAAAGTGACTATGAGAATGGATACCTACCCATTAGGACTAGATGATCGCCATAAATCAATTAGAATTCTCAATTACAGTCAATGATTAAAGTTAGGAATTGGATTTCGGGTTTTCATCACGAACTGACATAAGTTGTAATGCTAAAATTCTACTTATACAAATGGCTGAGTGAATTTTTATAGTATTCTAATTATCGTATGAACTAGGAATTCCAGGATTAACGCAATTCAATTAAGAAGACACAGGCACAAACGAATGTATTGTATTTGGAATTCGAAATCGAGCATTCAACAAGTACCAAGATATCATTAGTCCATTCAAACACCACATCCACCACAGCTTAATTAGGAGTATAAGTGTCTGTAATCGGTTGTACATCTTCTAGTTAGGTTCATCATGAGTCTGTCCAACATTGTATAAGATAAAAACTTTGTAGTGTTTAGAAAGTGCTCATTAGTATTGGAATTAACAAACGAAATCGGAACAGACTCATCTGGAATTGTATACAATCAGCATATCGGTTTTGTACTGAAATCATTAATATCTGGAATTTGAACCATAGATTTTTCAATCCTATCCTCCCCACGAAATAATGTTGGATCTTTATATCCCCAAGTTATGAATAATGTGGCTTCATTTAAAACATATTTCTCACATTGTTTAGAGTAAACATTAGAACTGTTTTTGTGATAAGGGTAAACAGCAGTTGATATGAAATCATCCGAAATGTAATCAAACTCGAGGTCACTTAGTACTCGTGCTTCGCATTGAGCAGGTTTTTCACAAGGATAAAATGCATTGAGGAGAGGTAATATATGATATGACATCAGGATTTGATTCTTCTGAAATATTCTCATGAAATTCATTAGGACTGTCATTGCAGAGCGTAGGATCGTTAGAAAAACCAGCATCTATCCAAACCACATCAGGTTTCCGATCATGATTAGGTTCATTTAACATATTTTCCTCAATATTGCAAGTAATTTCATTGGAAATATGTGAATCATTAGGAAAAGTCATACCTGGTACAATAGCATGAGAATTCTGATAAATCGGTTGATTAGGAACTGTTGTCTCACAAGAATTCTGGATTTCATTTAACTCTGAACTGACATATGACTCTGCACTGTCTTTTGAAATCGTTGATAAAGATAAATGATCATTAGAAACATCCGAATTATTTAAATTTAAATTACAAGATTTAGTACAGCTTGAAGCAAAATGGACAATAGCTTTGCATACAGACTGAATGTGTCCTACCTTACCACATTTAAAACATCCAGCATTACGAAATACACATGGATTGCGAGCATGAAACTTTCCACATGATGAACATTTACCAAACTTCATCTCACCTTTGTGATTTGCTTTGTAATCCCTTGTTGAAACACCTTTCATATTTACACGAGAATAGGATTCACCGTTAAATGAACGCAAGTTTGATTGACCCTGAGATTGTAGTTCATCAGGACGACTAAGGAAAGTATCAGAAATCTTCATCGACTGGATATCAAGTTCATTGACTGCTTCGTAGTCAATACATGCAGTTCTAGCATCTTGAAAGGAACAGTTTGGCATTCTTAACAGCTCTCTTTCCAAACTCGGTATGTTAATCCCTACAATTAATCGATCTCTCAGTTGCACATGAAGTTGATCACCAAAATTACACTTGGCAGCTTGTTTCTGTAATTCAAGGATGAATTCCCGAACTTTTTGATCATTTTGACGAACCATCTTATGAAATTTCGCCCTTTCACGGCATTCAAAACGGGTGCATTTTACATGACTTAACAATAGCTCTTTAAGAGTTGCATAAGGGAGTGAGATAGGTTTTTCTGAATATGCTAAAGTTTTTAATAAGCTGTACGCCTCTCTCCCAATGAATGTGAGGAAGTGTCCCACAATATTAACATCCTCATCATCTTCTTTGGTCATGCTCCAGATTTCGAACCTATCCAAATAATCCTCAAAAGCTTCAGGAGTTGAATGAATATCTGACTTTTCCATTACAGGCTCCATCGCGACGCCAGTATAGTATTCTAATTGTCGTATGAATAAGGAATTCCAGGATTACCGCAGTTGAATTAAGAAGACACAGGCACAACGAATGTACTGTATTTAGAATTCGAAATCGAGCATTCAACCAGTAGAAAGGTATCATTAGTCCATTCAAACACCAGAATTTTGCACCAAAATCTGAGACCTGTTATCTTATACCTCATTGGTTCATCCGTAAATTATAGTCTCGCCAAAAATTTTGACAACCGGAAATTATGATTTTTAAGAAAATGCATGATTTATTCCGTTTACATCAGTGGTTGATCACTTTAGAGGATTGGCAAAGCAAGGCTCGCATTCCTACAACTGAAGAACATATGGAACTCAGAACAAATTTCAACCAATTTCATAGTCAGAATCTTCAATACGAACGTCAAGGCAGTTCCACTGTGCGGAGCTGCAACTTGAAGAACTACTACAACCATTATCAAGAAGGTACAAGTATTTATAAATAGTTGTCTATGCAAGATACTCAACATCCATTGGTCGGATACCATCAGCAATAGCCTTCTCTGGGAGAGAGAGCAAACCAGCTTCCATCTGAAGACGAAATTAGGAAAAGGTGATGAAAATGAATAGGACATACATTACGCAAATCGTCAAACTGCATCACGAGGCAAGACCTAACTTGGAACCCTGAAGGGAAACAGAAAAGCGGAAGGCCAAAGAACACATTACGTCGGATAATAGAAGCAGATATGAAAACGATGAATTACAACTGGACGGAGTTAGAAAGGATTTCCCAGGACAGGGTTGGAGGGAGAATGCTGGTGAGCGGCCTATGGTCCTTCACGAGGAGTAACAGGCGTAAGTAAGTAGATAAGTAAGTAAGTATCAGTTTAAGTGAAACAGTCAATTAAAAGTACATGGAGTAATCAACAACTTTCTCATTTACTCACTAATCATTTAATGACAACCTTAGAGTTGATCTGTCTGAATTTTTTTTTAAAAAGAGTATTCTCTTTTATTTCATCACTCTGCAGATACATTATTTTTATTGTTGTGTATGGAAATGGAAATGTCAATTTATTATTA